AGATACTTTATACCTGACTGTATATCTCATAGATTGGTTTCTCTCCAAAAATTACATCGAAAGGCAAAGACTTCAGCTGCTTGGCATCACCTGCATGCTAATTGCTTCGTAAGTTAACATTATGGCATTATGCCTCGTAAATGGTGAAGTTGATTTCATTCCTTTCTGATGAATATCATTCAAAAAGTCATATATAATTAGTTCTGTAATTTTGGGATTCAGTAATAAATTTTTTACTTATTCTGTTGAGCTTATGCTTTTGTGTGGTACTAAATTATTCTGTGATGTTGGTCGTTATGAAGAAGATGCACCTTACGAAGACAGATGTTATCTTTGATAATAAGAATGAGATAGTATTGGTTTCAATCTTTAGTTGATATCCCGTTTGACATCTATTAGTGCCAGGATGCCACGTTCTTTCATTGAATTTAACAGTTCAAATGGCTGACAGAATTCACATTACAGTGACCTTCTTAGAAGGATACTGGCTGACCTTTGTTGTGTTCACTCAAAGATGTGTTATCACAAGTGTATGAGTAGTGTTGGTCAGGATTCAATTTTACCTAAAGATGTCTTTCAAATCATTGTATTAGGCTTATCATGAGATTACCCCTAATTTCTTAGGTGAATAATCCTATGGTTCAATTTAGATCAAACATATTTGACTATGTGAGGCTAACCAGTGTATTTCTATCCAAGTTAACAAATTGCTTTCAAAGAGGGAAGGCGCAATAGAAACACAAGAAGCAACTACACATGTATATTAAAAGCAATCATGCTGAAGAGATAACAAAAACTAGTTCATGAGTGGGATCAAACTAATCTGGAACAAAAAGCTTAGCCACGCATAGATATGGACAAAACAAAGGTGGGACCTTTTGAGCATATGGCCATCCAAATGCAGAAAGAAATAAGTAAGGGACAAGAAAAACTCAGTTTGAAGCTTCCGACCTTCAAATCTTGGTCTCTAGATCCCTCTCCATGTCCTTGGTTCGGCTTTGATGCAAAATTTACACCACCATCTTAAGGTTATGACTTTGATGTAATCATGATCAATTATCAAAATCAAGATATCAAACTTGAGGATCAGAAATTGATTCCTTATGTTTGCCGCACCTGCATGACTTTGTTTAGGTGGACTTTGTCAGACACAAAAGATTCAGTGCATAAGATACATGCCTTTTATGATGCAATCAATTTCCAATAACTGAAGAATCATTGATTGTTGCGGACAAAATCTAAGGGGCGGGATTCTTAAAGACGAAAGAAGTTAAAATATTCTTGCCTTCTAACATAATTAACGAATTAACATCAATTTTTTTTGTATTCATGTTGGTAGTTGAAACCTTTATCTGAAAGATTGAAGATAATTAGACTGGGTCCTGTGCTTCACATGGAATTTGAGGTGAGTCGCATTGTTCATGGTTTATGAATAGTGCGGCTTCTTATATTTTATTTTACATATAGATATATAGATTTTCAACGATGGTATAAGAAAGGTGGTAGGAAAGACAGCATGTGACTTTACACTATTGGTAACAACCGTGCTAACGGTTCTCAACTTCATATCATCTTCAATCTATTCTTGCCTACTTATTCTGATTTTATTCTGATATCTGTTCAAGAAACTCTCAACTAGTTTTTGATAATTTCAGTCTACAAAGGCCACGAACAATTTTAAGTTAAGCTGAATCATTATATCCCTGTGTCATGTGATGTAATACTTCTGGAAAAACTTTCCCATATGTCTTTTGCTTTCTGTGATTGAAGGAAGCTTGAAGAAATTTGTCCCCCGCGGATTGATGAATTCTGCTTCATCACAGACAACACTTACACAAAAGAGGAGGTATGCAGTATTTCTTGTACAATAGATGGTAAATGCTCAATTGATTAACTAAAAATGCAGTTTCATAGAGGTCTAAACACAAGAGCTTAGAAAGTCAAGCCCGGTCTTGTTTTTTGATAATGAACTTCATTCTTACTTTGTTGGTTTTTGTATATCGTTGATTTTATTATTGATAACTAAAACAAAGTGGATACTTGTAGTAATCCATTGTATCTTGCTCTTTGTGATGAGCACATGCTTAAAATATTGTTTTATAAAGTTAGTGGATTCCTTGCATCACTGAATGAAGTAAGTGGCAGGTACTTAAAATGGAGACTCAAGTGTTTAGGTGTTCCCAATTTCAAATGTTTGCTCCCACAACAAAAACTTTCCTCAGGTAATTTTTTAACATGCTGCCGTTCAGCAATGCTGATGATGTGAATGTATAATTTTCATTGAGAAATCTATACAGAAAATAAAGTTCATTTTATTTTTTGAAAGAGTCTTATCAAACTGTGTATGTACATTCTTGGTTCTTAGGAGGTTTCTTCGAGCAGCGCAAGCTTCTTACAAGGTGAAGGGATAAGTTTTAGTGAAAGCTGCTTGGTTATGATTCCACAGGAGGCATGCCGAATTGTCGGATTTCAGTACTGATGATCTGTTATATACTGAATTTTGCAGTGTCCTAGCCTTGAATTGGAATACCTGGCCAACTATCTTGCTGAACTAAGCCTCATGGACTTTAGTTTCTTGACTTTCCTTCCTTCTCTGATCGCTGCATCGGCTGTATTTCTGGCCAGATGGACATTAGATCAGTCATATCACCCTTGGGTTCATATCCCTTCCTAATTTTCTTTTCATTTAAGTTATATTAGATTAAACTACCACATTGGATGCTGCTTCCATCAATTTTAGCCCAACCATTTTATAAAAAACACATCAAGTATATCCTGACCTCACAAGCAGCTTTTTTAATGTTTTATTGATAGAGTCAAGGTCAGGATTTACTGAATGCTTTTCATCTTTACAAATATTAGGGTCAATTGATGATCATGATACTTGGAATCAATATGGTAGTTTAGGCGATATTATTTTTATTAGGAGTGTGACCTTCATTGTTTTTCCGCAGAATCCAACTCTTGAACATTATTCAAGATATACAGCGTCAGATTTGAAATCCACAATTATTGCCTTGCAAGATCTGCAGATGAATACCGAAGGCTGCCCTTTAAGTGCCATTAGGATGAAGTACAGGCAAGACAAGGTACATTAGAAATAGAACAGAAGCTAAAGCTGGTTTATAAATTCTCTGAATATATTTTTCAATTTTTTGAAGTACTAGTACAGCATTAGACCTATTTTGTATTGAGTTGCATGACGCTCATTGTGAACATTTGCCTATCAGTTTAAACAAGTGGCTGCCATGTCTTCGCCGAAACTGCTTGAAACTCTGTTCTGAAGATAGAGACGATTAACAAGTCAAGACTTAAGGGACTTCTAGTTCTAACAGATATGGTATGGTGTAAACAAATTAGAAGGAGAATCGCTTATTGTTAATCCAAGGCCTCATGTCTCTCTCACCTAATTCCCACCCTCGAAACTTCTGTTCATTAGTCCATTCTTTTTTGTACATTTGATGGCCTTTCCTTTGATTGGGGTTCTTGATATGTTGTTTAAGGAAGAATCCCATGATTAAACATGTGGCCTCTAATACTTTTAAACTTAATGTAATGATCTGTTGTTAAAATAATCAAACAATGTCTTTGTAGTAGTTTCTTGGAAGTTCACTGTGAACTAAACTTTGCGTCAGTATTGCTAGTATATCGTTAGATTTTATGGAAAACCATAACTTTTGTGACAAAACAAACATAATTTTGGGGTTTTTATGCGCATGAAGTTAACCAATACAAGAATCTATCTAAGTTGCACTTTCAGACCAAGTGATTAAATTTTGAATGAAATGTTAAAATGAAGTCTGAAATCACAATTAGAGTATTATTGGAGGAAAACTCATACATAAGGGTATGTGATATCTATGGTTATGTCTGGTATATATAACATTTACGATTATAAAATATACAAGAATGTGATGAGACGTGATTTTTGTTTAATTAATAATAAAGAATAAATAAATATTGTTAAGTGAAAAGATAAAAAAATATTATATGTATAATGTATTATATATATTTTATATTTTAATGACTTTAATTCTATTTTTTTTTTTCAATCATCAAACGGAACATATATTTATAGTTTATTGGCAAAGTAGATATAAATGAACTTGTTAGGTTTTGGAGTAAAATAAAAGGATAAAAATAATTTTGAGAGTTGAAAATAAATATTATGTATATATTTTAAAAAATAAAATAAAATTGTACTATTGAATTAAATGTTAAATAATTGATTAAAAATTATCTTTTTAAAGAAGAAGATAACTAAATATGGCCAAAAAAAAATCAAAAAGCGACTAATTATCATATCCAAAACTTTGAGCTTAGGAGCTCAAGAATAAGTATAAATTAACAAATTATAGTTTTTATGGGGCAAACATACAACGATTTTAAAATATTAAAGTTATGGGAAACCAAAGTTAGAGAACATGTTAACTGGAAATATAAAGCTCAACTAGGTCTAAGTGGATTTTTCAAAAGTTTTGAATCTTTAATTGTAATTATCCAAACATTTGGAAAATTACGAGAAATATCCCAAAAAAATAGGAGAAATTTCGAAGTGACTTTTAAGACCTATAGAAGGTTTTAAAAATGAAAATGTCACCAGAAATATATTGAGTTAAGAATTCTATGTTGGCTTATCATTTAGTATTAGTCCAAAATTGATGAAAATTAATGGTTGGAATTAAAGTGTTTAATTAAATTTATGGAAGCCAATTTTTAGTAAATTTTAGTTTCTGCGAGTATTAAAATGAGGATGACAGTAGCCACCCACACATGATGACATGACTCCGGACGGGCGAGAGGGAATGATTAAAATTACAGAGAAGACCAAATGATTAAATTATAATTACATTGTTCGGCAGAAAAAGAAATTAAAATTACAGTGAAGAAACAAAGCAACAAAATTATTTTATTAATAAAAAAATATAAATAAGAATAAAAATCTGAGTCCTATGGCCCTCCATTCCAGTATTTGCACCAGGGGCGAAGACGAGGAGTATGTGGCAGCTAAGTCACTTCCATCTTCATAACTGATTTCTCTTGCAGCTTGAGAGAGAGAGAGAGAGAGAGAGAGAGAGAGAGAGAGGGAGAGGGAGAGAGAGGGGGGGAGAGAAAGAGAGACTGATTCAAATATGGCGACTTTGAACCTCTTATCTCAGCCATGGCAGCCTACACTTTCGCCTTCTTTCTGTCACTATAATTCCAATTCCAACGATCATGGCTATTACTCTAATCATTCTAAATTTTTTTATTCTTCTAATTCTCGCTACTCTTCTCTCCTGCATTCTTCCCTCTCCTCGCCCGCCCAATCTTACTGTTCCAAGTTCTCTAAAATGCCAACCCACTCCACCAAATCAGGTTCTTTTCCTTCATTGAATAATCAGTCTGTTTGATTTGTCATTTGTTTCCTTCGATTCTGTTTGGATGATATGATATTTTGTGCATGTAAAGGGTGAAAAGTGAAAACAATCCAATTTGGACTAGTTGACATGTGGAAATTCGGTGGAAAGGAAAAAATAACAAGCTTTAGTTCTTTAGTTGGGAGTTCAGTTGAATATGAATTGTTAGATTATTGGGTAAGATTGTTCGTTCATTCAGAATTCTGATGTGTTATTATCAATCGAAATTTTTTTGAGTAAGTTTTAATGGCTGACCTAGTCGCTAACTAACATGGGTTTTGTATATTCAATTCTTTTATTTCTCAAAATCTATAGTAGATAGCTATATTTCTTCGTTTTTGTACATTTGATTAACCGTTCTGGTTAATGCCCCAATTATATTCTCATTTTAGTTCGGCCGGCCTGCGAACTCGATCCCAATTTTATGTTTCCTGTTGCTGGACATTTGTGTCCTGGTCTGCTATGGATGCATGGCAAGTCTACCTTTGTCCGTATTTCCCAACTTATTCCTTAACTCTAATTACCCTTAATTCCTTAATTCCCAAATAACAGTTTTTCTCTAATTACCATGAGGTACTTGGATTGGATGTGCTTCCCATAAAACTTTGGCTTAACCAGTAATTGAAAGAATTAGCGTCTTCATCCTATTTTTTAATGTAATTTTATTTTCTCCAAAGTTAGTATATATACTCATCCAATTCTCTTTATAAGTCATTTCTACTAACCTCATCAATACCAATACACAAAAAGTATAAGGAATAAAAGTATATAGAATTCCAAATATGTTCTCATATAACAAATTTAAAAAATGATGTCATATTATTTTTTCTCTCTTATGAAGAGTAATTTTGAAAATAATTTTTAAATATTATTTAAAAAGTCACACTGTGACTTATAAATGAGAATGGAGGGAGCAGACCGTTACACATTCTGATACTGTAGGATTCATGTATTTGATCTTCAATATGTAATTAAGGTTTCTTCATGCAGGCAGTGGGAGTTCATGGTTTCAGCATAATTTCACCCCACGTAGTGCTGTTACCAGCAATGAGTATACAGAGGGTCCTTTGTATTCTGCATTCCCCACAAAACCTGCTGAAGTTTCAGCTGTACAGGACCTTTATGATTTCATATGCTCTGGACCTTTGATGGACAAAGCAGGTCTGACACCGGAGAAGGTGGCTGAGTCCATTGATAAGTGGTTAATGCATGGTCGGCGGCTATGCCAATTGTTTCAACTCAATGAATTATACCTAACTGTCCCTCAAAAGGCCAGACTCTATCATTACTACATACCAGTCTTTCTCTGGTGTGAAGACCAAATCGCTGAGCATCAATCAAAGTTCAACGATGGAGAAGATATAACTCCTTTAGTGGTATGTATATTTATTTCTACTACAATTTATCATATTCTGTCTTTATATTGTTCATAACCCTTGAAAAATGCAGCTCACTATTCAGACCCTATAAAGTGCACTGCAATGCACAAGGCCCGCCTATCTTAGTTAATGTTAGTTATGGGGTATGACTGAGGTTGTTCAGCTTATACAATATATAGTGATCTTGATTATAATGTTGCATGAGTTGTAACTGTAACTAAAGCTAGAAGAAGCCAAGATATTTTACTTATATTTCTCAAAAGGTGCCTTACCATTTTCAATTTTTATGGCTCAGATTGGATTTAGTGCTCCCCAGGGATGTGGAAAAACAACTCTGGTTTTTGCTCTTGATTATCTTTTTCGATCAATTGGCAGGTAGGCTCTAAATTCTGTAACAACCATAATCTTGTGGAAGATATTTTATCCTTTGTCATAGAGACCATCTAGAAAGGACATTAAGTAACAAATCTTTGATGGATGGAAAACTATAGGAAGTCTGCAACAATATCTATAGATGATTTTTATTTGACGCATGAAGGTCAGGTATGTGAATAGATTCTTCCTTTCTCTTTTTTCCCCTTCCAACAAACTGTCTTGATAATTCCTGGTCGGATGACATTTTACATTTTGATTGTAGAGTAAGCTAAGAGAATCAAATCCAGGAAATGCACTTCTTGAGGTTACTATCTGCATGTTGTCTTGATAGAAAACTGATGTCTAAAGACTTTTTTGTGAGAACTGAAACATTTTTTCTTGCCTTGTTTATTTCCAGTTTCGTGGAAATGCTGGAAGCCATGATCTTGATTTCTCAGTTGAAACTCTGACTTCCTTAACCAATTTGAAAACAGAAGGCGGGTCTCTATTTTTTAAACTTCTTTCTCAGTTGATATTGTGTTTCACATTTGATTTCTCTCAATTTGAAATGTCCAGGTTCGAAGATGAAATTACCTCGATATGACAAAGTAAGGCCATAACTTGCACAATTTGGTTGTTGAGGCAATTCTTGACTTCATAGTTTTTTATGGGGAGCTTACTTAACCTTGCAGTCAGCATTCAATGGAAGAGGTGACCGTTCTGATCCTTCAACCTGGCCTGAAATTGAAGGGCCACTGACGGTAAGAGAATCAAATAACATTAAGTTGCATTTGAAAGTGACAAACTGATCTTGACGAGGACAAAAACAACAATGATAAAATTGAACCATGGAACTTGTGTTTTAGAAGTGTTCCAAATTGTTAATTTTTTCCTCGTGTCCGTTCATGGATGGATGTTAGGTTGTGCTGTTCGAAGGCTGGATGCTTGGTTTCAAGCCCCTTCCGGCAGAAGTTGTAAAGGCTGTTGATCCTCAGGTTAGAATCCAAAAAGTGCTTTTGCTTAGTGTGCACACTGAGTTAATTACTGTAAATAATGCAAATTCTTTAGCCTATTATTGTGAAGAACTGAAAAACAATTGCACTTGCATTCTCAGCTTGAAATTGTAAATAAAAACCTTGAAGCTTACTATGATGCATGGGACAAATTCATAAATTCATGGATAGTCATCAAGATAAAGGACCCAAGTTGTGTCTACCATTGGCGTCTGCAGGTAGACTGTTTTAACAACCTTCACCTTGAAAAAAAAAAAAAAGGGCTCTCTCTTTCCTGGATGTTATATAATTCCATGCCATGTCCTGTTCTAATCTGCAGGCTGAGATTGCCATGAGGGAGGCCGGCAACCCTGGAATGTCTGATGAAGAGGTCCGTTATCTATCTTCAAATTTTTGTTTTTTCTCTGTTCCAAAGAAGACATGAGATGTTGAAAGCAGGCGTGCTTGAGCCAAGACTCCTGCTCAACCTACTTACATGTATGCACATGGATTTGTTACTCCCTCAGGTCCTTTTTGTGAGGGCTTTTTAACCACCTTACCAAGATTAAGAAAGTTTGTTAAATGTGCAAAACATTTTCATGAGATTTCATGCGCCGCTTAATTAATCCTTGTTTCCTATATGAAGGGTAGTTTTGAAAAAAAGTAATTAATCCTTGTTTCTACTTAATTAATGCTTGACCAAAGAAGAATCATAAAAGAGGTCTTATGAAAAGGACCTGAGGGAGTATCAATGGTGATGTTTTGTCTGTTCTAACTTATAATGACTAACAAAGCTTTCTTCCATGGTTGGTGATTTTCTAGGTGAGGGATTTTGTTTCTCGATACTTGCCGGCATACCATGCTTACCTTCCTACGTTGTACGCGGAGGGACCAAATGGGTCAGACCCGCAGCATCTCCTTACCATTGAAATTGATGAAGGGAGAAACCCCATTCTTGGCGTCTAGGTAACCTTTTGTGGCAGATCATTGAGGGATTAGTTTCTGGGAAATTTACAAAGAAGTTCCAGGAAAGGTAATTAATTACCAATAGGTTTTTTGAAATTGAGTTATTACTATTAGGTCTCGCTGAAGAACTTGTGTTAGAAAAAACACATAGGGTAAGTTGTAGATTTCTTGGTATAACTTGCAAATATTAGAGGAGGACTTGGGGCAAATTTTTTTTTCATCTTATGGTGATTTATAAGTCCTCCAATATTTCCAATTCATCCTGTGTGTTTTTGCACAAGTCCTTCAAGGGACTTATTAGTAAGAATTTGTGCAAAAAAACACGGGATATATTGTAAAATTTTCAGTTTGACTCACAAATATTAGAGTAGGACTTGCGGAATTTGTTTTCATCCTGTGGTGATTTACAAGGTAAACTGAGGGAATTTACAGCTTATTCAGTACGCTCTTCGTACAAGTTCTTCAAAGGATCTATTAGTTATAACTCAATTTCAAGGGACCTATGGTGATCAATTTTCTTACCTGGGAGCTCTTTGTAATTTTCGCATAGATTTTCAATTCTTAGAGAGAATTGGCGTATCTTTACGGCTTTAGTTGGTTTCATCAACAGAGATGAATCTGTGTATGTTACTATATTTTTTTTTATATGTACAGAGTATATTGGTTTTCATAAATCAATATCAATATCATTAATATCTAAATAAAATGTAAATCTTAAAGTAAGTAATATCATCCACAAACTGTAGATAGTCTGACTCATTTTTAAACTCCGTGCAATAAATAGGAGGGTCTTCTGATTATTAAAAATATCGGTAATTGGTAACTATGCTTCGTGATTGCTATTAAGATTAGGATAAAATTTTCTAGTAATTTTTCTTGCATGAATGGGAAAAGTATTCCACCTGAGACCGTAAGACGCCTGGAATTATACTTTTTCATTTTTTTTCCTTAAATTTGACGATGATTTTTAGGAGGAATTTTGACTCTTTTAACTTCTTTAACCTGTAAAGTATATTTAAAATTTAATTTTCATCTTAATTACTCTATTTAGTACAACAAGTTGCCTCTTTCTCTGTGGCCAGTGATCATCCCCAATCCAATCGGGTCGGACAATATGTCTTTCCTCTTAAGATGATGTTAGCCGAAATCTTGGTTACCAATTGGGCTTCTGTTAATGAGCCCAAAAAAAAAAGTTCTACCCAAGTTATGGTTTTGTCCAAGTATTCTAATCTGATAATGGACTCAAAGTTAAAAAAAAAAAAATCAATTCCATAAGAAAAAGAAAAAAACAATTTCTATAATTTTATTAAATTTTAAGTCTCTATAATTATTTTTCAATATTTTTGGTCTTTATTGAAAACACTAAAATTATAAGGATTGAAAACATTAAAAAAAATTGAAGAAATGAAAAATAAAATTGTATAAAACTATACCAACTGATTATTGTGTTTTTTCCATAAAAAAAGTTAATTACTTATAAATCCCATTCACTTATTACGGGGAGTTGAACATGTAAATTTAAAAGTGTGGCTAATAAATAGATTAAAAAACAAATAATTTCTTTATTCAGGGCATGATTGTAATTCTTCCAACTTCCAAAGTTGGAAATTTTCAGATCAGAAACACAATAGAACCAAACTGTTGACAAATAAAAATATACAATATTTGAATATTAGACCAACTTTATTCAAAATTAACAAAATGTAAAGAAACAATTGTTAAAGTTTGAATAACTTGTGTAAAGGAACAGACATTATATGAGCTATACTAATTTGTAATTAAGGATTACTACAAAATTGGGATGGGAGAGACAGCAGCCTTAAAAATCAAACTCGTATTTGCATTACAGTACAAAGACAGTCAGACAGACGACAGAATTATCACCATCAATTTACAGACCACTCTCCTTCTCCTTATTCCTTTGACTAGTTATAAAACTTGTTAATTTCTTCTAATCATCTCTTGAACCAAACCAACCAAGCCTCTGTACATGAGTTCTCCACCAGGATCCTTAACCTCCTTCACTCTGAAAATCACCAAAACAAACATATATGTCAATCAATCTATTAATTTTTTTTCTCTAATATGCTTTTTAATTTCGTCTTCCCTCCTTATAGTTAAATCCCGACTCCGTCTCGTTATGTATGAAAGAAAAAAGATTAGAAACATATATTCGAACCTGAGCCAGTAGTGGCCTCTGAGCTTATCATCAACCTTATCCTTCTGCAGGATTCAACAAACATCCTGGACAAGAAATTAAATGAAAATTATAAGAAAACTTCTTCATCTGTCACAGATAATTAACTTATAATCATCACTATATATGTGTGTGTGTGTGTTTATATAATTGGATCGCTTACTTCCAGGGTACATCCCCGACCATCATCCAGTCACCATCTTTGTCCTCAAAGGTAGGTACGTATTCGCCTCCGTTAATGTTTCCACTGTTCCTCTCCTTCAAGATCAAATCGTTACCTGTAACCATATACGTAAGTATACACGTGAAAAGACTGAATTACCCCCTCACAGCTACGCATGGATCCAAGAAGATATAGATATAAATACGTACGGATGGTTAAGCAGGAAAACATGGTTTCTAAAGACCTTAGAAGCTGCTCGTAACTGTGATACATTTCAAGATCTACTTTCCTCAGATATGGAGCTCCGTCCACCGCCACCTTCACGTACTTGCAACTCTTCATCACGCTCTTTCTGCTCGCCCTCACCGGTGGCCACCCCACCATCTGTGCCCTGCGCCGCCGTAATTAATATCAGAACCAGCCAGATAACAACTAATAATCAACTCAAAAACATAAGGAAGGATCTTATTTTCCCTGTTTCCTACTTTGGTGCCGGAGATTTATCACAGGCTGAGCCGTGGCTGTTATTGTTGTTGGCGTCCTTAGTGCCTAGATTAAGATCAACGGTGTGGGAGAATCCGCGTTTAGAACCGGTTTTAGCTCCGGGAAGGCCCAAGGTGAGTTCGGTGTCCTTGAAATTGAGCTCGACGGCTTCATCTTCCGGTTGATTCTCCGACGACATGCTTTTGGTTGGACGTGGAAATTGCCTTTGGGTAGCTGAGAAAATGATAGTTGTGTGAGCACTGAGCAGAGACGGTGACGGTAAGAAGGCAGAGATGTTATATAAAGAAATAGTGAGAGGGATAGGCCAACGAGTAGGCGACACGTGGGGGGGTTTTGGAGGCATCCGCGTTTGGTGTGACAGGAGGGGTTATGTATGAGGGAAGCGTGTGCAGGTGATATGATGTGATTGCTTGAGAGTTTGGGCCCTCCATGGGTGGCTCTATCACTGCCACAGAGCGCAGCATTACCCCTCTTCCGTATGATTCTGGGTGATGTGCTTGTTCGGATGCATGGGCATGGGCCTCGCCTATGAACCTGCAATTTCTGTACTTCTCTACATTTTTTTTAAAGTACAATATCTTATATTTAATAATAATTAATCAATTCCTAGAGAGATCTATAAGAAAAATTTTAAATTTAGTGTATAGGTTTTAGTATTTTACTTTTATATCCTTAAAACTTTAAATTACTTATTTTTAAGTTTAATTTTATTATTTTGTATCACTTCTCTTGTGTTGTAAGACTTTGTACCCCTCATTTACGGATTCTTGTTTGTCATTTATTATATTTTAAACAAGATTATTTTTAATAAGAAGATATTTGTCCATACAAAAAAATATCAACTCAACTAAATTTAATAGGAATTTTGTTTCAAAAATTTATAATTATTTATTTATTTTTGCTTGAAATGAAATTTTCTATGAAATATTATATTGAAGATCAGATGTAGTTGACTAAACCAATAAACTATTAAACCATAACTGTGATTAAGATTTTTAAATAAACTTATAATAAAAATATAAACTTAGATTGTAAACTCATAAGAGTTTCTCTTTATTGATAAATATTCATTAAAGACACTCCTATATGATTAAATAATTAAAATATAACATATGACCATGATTTATTTTAAATATATTTTAAATATAAATTATTGAAATTAAATCTATCTATATTAATAGATTATCATACAAAACTTAAAATTTTTTAAAATAGAGTAATTTTTTTTGATATTTTTTTGTTTAATGTTGTTTTTTCTTTTTAAGGTTTTTTTTTCTTTAAACTAGATCCCATTACTTTTATGAATCGAGTTTCATATAGTATATACTTAACTCACTTAACTTAATAAAAAATTAATAAGCTTGATAAATTTGACAAAGTTTGCATCTAATTTAAATTTATAAATTAGTTAATATGATTTTGTAAATTAAAAATTTAAAAACAATGAACTTATAAATAAAATAAATTCATAAATTTAACTAAATTTATATTTAATTCAAGCTGATAAATGAGTTGCTATAATTTTATTAAGATAAAAATATAAACATATTAGAGTTAGAGTTACAACTACAGGGGTGATTATCTAATTAGAGCTGGCGAGGTCGTCGGGTGAAGGTGAAGGTCACTGAAGGAGGTCGTGCGCGGCGAGGGTGGAAGCGTAGGATCAGGAGGTAAAAGGAGGGAATGGGGTGGGGACAGGTGGGGGCCCACATGTTTCCGGTGAACGAGTACAGGTCAACTTTATGCGGAGTCCATGTGCTTCAAAATAACTCAAAGTTCCTGCGGTGGGGCCTACCCTCCCCCATGTGCCTTTGTCTTCTTGTCGGTCGGTTCCCAGTAGGTTCCTCTGCCACAGGCACGTGTCAGTTCTCTTACCTTGCTTTTCCCATATTCTTCACTTTACCAATCACCTCATCGTCCGTGATCTTCGCTTCCATTTGTACCTTCCTTTTATGCGGCCTCTCCTTCATTCAATTCTCACTCTCGCCCGGTAAAAATTCAAATAAGAAAACAGCCCAATGTCTTTAAACCAGATATATAATTTTTTTTTAGGAGAATACACTCCTTCTATCTAAATTATAAAATAATTTGGGACGAAACATGCATATTAAATTAAAAATATAATTTTAAATCTCTGTAATTTATTCAAATTTTATTATAAATCTTTACATTTTTTTAAATATTTTAAGTTATATATTTTTATTTTTTAATATTTTAAGTCTTTATAGTATGGCTTAAGGAATAACCTAAAACACTAAAAAAATAAAAATATAAGAATTTAAAATATTAAAAAAAATATAAAAATCTATAGCAAAGCTCGAATAAAATGTAGGAGTTAAAAATTAGATTTTTCTAATTTAATAATAATATTTTACAAATTTATATTTTTCAAAACAATAATAGTAAATTTTAAAAAAATATTTTTTATTTAATATAATTTTAAATTTACAAACTTAATTATTACTCTCTTCGTTCAAAAATATAAAGCATTTTTTGAGGAGTTGAATATTAAAAAATGTAATCATTGCCTTTTTTAAAAAAAAAAGTGCCCCTATTGATAATGACTTTATATTTATTGTGGGGTTTTTAATATGGATAAATATGAAAAGATAGGGTTAGTTGAAAAGTAAGTAACTACTTTATCAGGAAAAAACATTCGATTAAAAATGCCTTACATTTTTAAATGGATGGAGTGCATTATAATTATTTTAATTCTTTCTCCTCTAGCATCATAAATGAAAATTTATTTTTATTAAATTGTCTTATACTTTAAAATAATAAAATAATTTCAAAATTATTTTATAATTCTTCTAAAAATATTTTCTGCATTCACAAACTCAAATTCAAGATTTTGTGTTTAAACAATTACAACCTTTTTTATTAATCCAAACAACTATTGATTTTAAGCAAGATATTGTGATTTTTAGTATTTCCTCCAAGAGTTTTAAAATATATGTTTTTTAAGTTTATTATATAATCTCTTTATTAAAAAATATATGGCATTTTTTAAAAAATTGAATGTTAAAAAATATAAAGCATTTTTAATTTTTTGAGGTATAATCATTGCCTTTTTTTAAAAGTATCCCTATTGATAATAACTTTATATTTATTATAGTGTATTTAATATGAGTAAATATAAAAAGATAGAGTTAGTTGAAAAGTAGGTAACTACTTTTTTAGAGATGAGATTCAGTTAAAATTGCCTTATATTTTTTAATAGAGCGAATATAAATTATATTGTATATAGATTAACTATCAATATATTAATGCCTTTAAGCATTGGAAAGAATATTTTTAAAATTTTAAAGTAGAAATAATATGAAATAATGTTTTTCGCTCTAAAGAAAAATATTTTAAAATGGAGGGAGTGGTATGTTATTAATATTTTTTTTTGGTTGGCCTAGTATCTTATTATTTTATTTAGGGGAAATGACAATGTAATTTTTATAAATTATATAAATGATAATTTAATATCTCAAAATAACATGATTCCATTGAAGTCCTTAGGGACTTCTGTGTTAGTAAGTTTAATGAAAAGATCATTTTATTCTTATTAATAAGTTATAATTTCTTATTCAATTCTTATAATTTTTTAAATAAAAGAAGTTATTCTTTAAACAACAGTTTTGATTTAGGTTTGTTGTTTTGAAATTTTTTTTAATAATAGAAATTATGTAAAGTTATAATTTCTTATTCAACTCTTGCGATTCACAAAATAAAAGTTATTATTTCTTAAACAAAAATTATGATTAAGGCTTGTTATTTTTAATTAGGGTAAAATGATATTTTCACTTTAGAATTTATTGACATAAAAGTTCTAAAGAATTTTAGTGAAATTATGACCTTGAAGAGACCTAAAATTCTAAAAAATAAAAGCGTAGAGACCTAAAATATTGAAAAAACTGTAGGAATTTATAACAAAATGCTAACAAATTGCAAGGATCTAAAGTTATGTTTCTCAAAAATATATCATTGGATACATACACACATCCTAAAAAAAAATACACTTTCCACAATCCAAACTCAAAATTCATGTTAAAAAACTCAAACTCAACACTCAAAATCATTCTTTTCAAGTTTTTCTTGTTAAGTTTTAATAAAATTATCGATTCCACATCCTTTGTATTTATCTCTCCAGATAAATTTGCATGCATCTTGACTTAAAAGAATTTTAAAAATTCTAAAGGCTTTTTTATAATTATCCTTCACACGTTTACTCTTTATGGGACGATCTTCTATTCTTCGATCATGATAAATGTACTTTTCAAATAATAATAACAATAAATGTTGTGGTATTTATATATAAGTATATACTTTATAAGTATATACTTTTTGCATTATAACAATTATAATTTCTTTAAAAATCTTAATTAGTGCGAACAAACAAAACTTTCGTGTACACTTGCTTAAAAAAGGAAAAGAAGAAGGGATAAGAAACTTTTTGAATGTTGCCACTAAGCATAACTTTCCCTAATTTCTTGATGACCATGGAGTTTTATTTGTCTAAGAAATAAATTAACTTTATAAAGTGATGAATGCCTTTTGTGTTTTTTTCTTTCTTTGCTTAGTCAAAAAATACTGATTAGATTCGTGTACCCAATTCTTTTTGACGGAAAAGCAAATAGCAAAAGAAAAAAACAAAAACAAAAGAAACAAAGATCAATCATTGATGTAGTGAAAGTTTAAAACACAATTAAGAGATGCTTAATCATTCATTTTGTACCATAAAACTACTCATTCTTATTATTCCAAATAATTAAAACATGTCTTGCATCATGATCAATAGTCTCTGATCTAATTAATTACAGCTCGGTAAGCCAGTACATGGATCTGTGTTCTTCGAGAAGCCAATTATAGTCTTTGAATTAATGCCTTGAACAGACCACACAATAATAATCACGCCCTTCAAAATAACTAACTAAAATTCTTTCAGGCGTTTGGATTTTTGGATTTAGATTTAAATTTTAAATTTTAAATTTCACATTAAAAATCCATGTATTTAATATTCATTTTTGAGTAGTTTGAAAAATTTCAAATGAAAAGAAAGATAAATTGAAATTTTAAAACAAAAATAAAAAATTGGGAATGAAGAATTTACCTTTATTTTTTAGTCAATAAGAGATGAGAACAAGAAACCTTGAGTGCATTTGATTTAAAGATACATTTATGTACTTAGTCTTATATACTTAATTATATATTTTTATCTGATTAAATTAAAATAAGTCAATTTTAAATTACATTGATAATGTTAATAAAAGAATTTAGATGTCTTGATTTGATTGAAAGCAGACAGCTTAAATATATAAAACTTTATATTCAAGTTTTCTACTTTAATTGGATCAATTAACAAAGTTATTA